TCTCTCCTCCTCTCTGTATAGCTGACTTTCCAATAAAAATAAATAAAATCTTAAAAAAAAATAAAATCCCCTCACATGAGCAAGGAAGTAATGTGATTACTTGTATATGTTTTCTTACTCAAACTGAAAACTCTCTGATGGATTAGACTGTCTTATTTATGTTTATGCAGTTTTTACTAATCTTGTTAACTGGTTAATAATTCTTCCATCCATTCACTCATTAAGTCCTTTTGTGAGTTACCATATACTAAGCAGCGTTTTAGGGGAGAAAAGAAGAAAAAGAAGACAAACAAGTCCCTCCTCCGTAAGTCTTACATTCTAGTAGAGGAGACACACACTGAATGAATGAGCACAGGAAGATGCAAAAATTCAGAAAACACACAGTACAAAGGAAAGTGACTCAGGTAACAGGGCAACGCCTACGTAGAGGTGTGCATAGGAAGAAACACTGGTGTGGCTGGGCTACCCAGGAAGCCTTCCTGAACAAGAGACATCTGAACAGAGATCAGAATGAGAAACCAACAACCCTACAAATATCGGAGGAAAGCTGAAAAGCAAACACAAAGAACAGTCCAGGGACGGCCCCTGAGATGGAAGTAGCAAGGCCCAGAAAGCTAGATCAGAGGCAAGGGGGAGAGAGCTGCATGAAATTAGCTCATGAAGATGCACAAGGTGGGGTCAAGTACAGTTCCATAGAACTTTGCAGAGAGAATTAGAAATGCATTGGGAAAAACAAAACCTGGAGATTCCTGAACAGGAAACCCAACTACCTCCTTTGTGTTTTAAAAACTGAGACAACTGAGTGACAAGGAGATAAATGAAAGAAGAATTAAATATTATTTATTACACTGCTCCACAGTGAGGACACATGTCTGGTCAGCTGGAGTGTTCTAGGACACAGAATAGTATGTGTCCCTTCCAGCCATACCCATGGGGCAGCCTCATGATCTAAAGACTCAATTAATAACTTGAAGGGGAGGCTCCCTCTGAGTGGTGATTCCTGTTGGATGAGGTCCCATGCTGTTGGCAAGAGTGTCTAAAACCCTGCTCCTTCATAACTGTGTCAGACACAATAATCCTGGAGGATTCGGGTACTGCATCTCAATTTCTGTCACCGTAAACAGTTGCATCTGCTTGCAGGGAAAGCCAGGCACAGGAGTCTGTGTCCCATACCTGTGGCATGGGCAACTGGAACATCATTTTCTATTATGTTCTATTTTGTTTTGACAGACAGATGATTAATTAGCACCATCAGCATGTCTCCTTGAAAATGGCCATGGATCAGTGTGTCCCCTCCGTCACGTAATTGAATCAGGGCCCACACACCTGTTTCCACTTCCTTTAAATAAACAGCTGCCCAGTTATCAACACAAAGCGATATTAGATTTCAACTACCTGTGCATCAGTATATCTTCCACCATGACCTAATCAATGCTGAAAGCTGGAAGAGTGCGGATTCCAGAGAACTCTCCTGCTTGATCCTCACTTGGAATCAGAACATCTGTAGCTCTGGCCTGACGTGGACTGTGTGACAGAGCTGGACAGGGCTAGGCCGTAGAGTCCTTCAGAACAGGGGTTTGGGATCATGCTTGGTTTTCTAATAGTGTGGCATTAAGCAATTCACTCAGTTCCTAAAATCCTGTTTCCTGATAGTTAAAATAAGAATAATAATAGTAATTTGTTTTTTTATATACAAAAATCTCATCCATCGTGGAGTTAGCACAGTGCTTCATACATGGTATGCATGTGTTTTTGTTACTATATAAAGAGAACATTAAACCTAAGTGGGCTGATAACTGCGTTGTTTCTGGTTGAGATGGACTATGTACATGTTATCTTGTCTTCTCCATTGATTAAGACCAAGAGCCTTGAACAGAAGATATGAGATAGCTACTTGTGGACTCAAAAAGGCAAATAATACCAAGTCAACCGGGAGGGGGAATACAGCGCTTGAAGAAAAACACCTCTAGAAATGACGTCCTGCTTTCCCCCACCCTCATCTTTACTGGCATAAATTCTAGGGCAACATGATTCTTCAAACAAGTACTAACATAAAAAAAAAAAAAACCTTGGGGGCCAAAGGATTAGAAAAGGAGTTCCCTGGGAAATTCATCTTTTGCATCTCCCAGGCCTACCCCAGGCAGGTCCCAGCAGCAAGGCACATTCCCATGCAATGGTGAGAGCAGTGGCAGGACAGGTGGAAGCAGGTGGCAGCTACAGACGCAGTCTTCTCAGATTGCTTTCTATTGCTACTCTGTGCTGAGGCCAATCCAGCTGCAGATAGTTCATGATGCTACAACCATAATTTCCTAGTAAGAGCCTATAAGAAAAAGAAAAAAAACAGGGGTGGGAAGGATAAGAAGATTGACAGGCAGGGAGTAGCTAAGAAAAGGTATCATTTAAATCAGTGTATAAAGTTTCAGATTGTCCCTGAGTTGTGTATGTAAAGTACTGATTGTAAAAGCAAAACAAAGGCTTTCAACACGGACCGAAGCGCAGACCACTACCCAGGTCCCAGGCTGACTACTGGGTGGTATATACTCATGGTCATAGCAAGGGAAGGCTGGTACCACAGTATGCAGATGGGTCAGAGTGGTGATCAGAATCTGAGCTAAGCTGATTGGCCCCTAAGGTATGCACAGCAGCTCCCATCTTACAGCATACTATCAAGAGTCCCCAGAATGACTTGATACACAAAGAACCAGAAATATCTCCACATTCTTATGGCTATTTTCATTAAAGGGAGATTTTAATGTACCTCTTATAATAATTCATAAGTTTAGGTGAATCCATGAAGATAGGTGAGTGAATACTCTATTTTTCAAAAGATTTATTTATTTTTTATTGAAGCTACAGCTTCACAGAGAGAGAGACAGAGAGAAAGATCTCCCATGTATTGGTTCACTCCCCAAGTAGCTGCAATGATTGAAGCTGAACTTATCCGAAGCCAGGAGCTAGAAGCCTTTTCTGGATCTCACATGTGGGTATAGGGTCCCAAGACCCTAGGCCATCCTCTACTGCCCTCCCAGGCCACAAGCAGGGAGATGGATGGGAAGTGGAACCACCTGGACATGAACTGGGACATGCAGGTAAGGATATAGCCACTAGGTTATCATGCTGGGTTTCAAATGAATACTCTTAAAAGGAGTGGATGGACCTTCTCAGCCAAGAAGTGCGAGTTCTACCAATGGATTGCATGGAATTTGTAGAACTTCATGATTCAGTGACAGATGTAAAAAGTTCTCTGAAGGACGTCCAAAGCAAAACAGAGATGTGGAAGCAAAAAGTCAGTAGGTTTGCAGGTATATCAATAAACATTAGCTGGCAGAAAACACAGATTGTGGAAAACATTTGACATAAAGTGAATAAAAAGAGTGCCAGACAACTGTGGGACAAAATCAGAAGCTCTTATACTGCTCCTATTGTGGTCCTAGAAGGAGAGGAAGAAATAAAAACATAAATATATTTGAATAGTCACCGATAACATCCAAACTTTATAAGGAGTATTTAGTTACAAATGAAAACAAATCAACTTCAAAGAGAACAAAATCAAAGACAACATGCTCTGACTCATTGTAATCAAAGATCAATATCAAACCGTAACAAAAAAATCTTGAACGATCCCAGAGGAAAAATTGTATTACATCCAACAAATTGACAGATTAGTCAGAGCTTTTTCATCCGAAATCTTAGAGGCTAAAACAAAAGCAGAAAATCAGTGCTAGAAGCTTTTTAAAGTATTGAAAGAGAAAAACATCAGCCAGGATTTCTACATCCAGTGGCAATGTGCAATTCAGGGCTCTAAATCCTGGAGCCAGGTTTGATATTTTAAACTTACTGGTTCATCAAATACTGCTAATATATTTTAGATACAGTATCAGTGGAGCAGGCAGGACATGAACCAGTGACCATACGGGATCCCAGAACTTGCAAGGTGAGGATTTAGCCAGTGAGCCATCACGCTGAGTCTGACATTACTTCTGTCCAGCTTGTGAGGCTCCCACCCCCATCAACTGGCAGGAAGTGGAGAAGGCATGTAGTCTATGGTTAAGATGATGGTGAAGACAACCATGTCCCTATCAGAGTGTCTGGGCTCAATGGGTTCCATCTCCTGACTCCAGCTCCCTGCGCATGCAGACCATGGGAAGCAGTAGTGACGTCTCAGCTGAGTCCTTGCCACTCACATGGGAGACCTGGTCTGCATTCCTGGCTCCCAGCTCAGCACAGTATCAACCATCGTTGGCACTGAGTGAACTAGCAGATGGGAGTCCTAATACTCTCCTATCCACCTCTCAAATAACATTATATATATATATACTAGAAATGCAGGGAGGTAGACATCAAAGCCAAAGGCAGCAGCAGTCTCTGAGGGCCAGCCAATAGATGAAGAATGGGGCAGTCAGCAAACACTCTTGGAAATTCAATGCCATGAGGGAAGACTCAAACTTATTTGACATGACGGGTAAGTAGAGGTCACTTTCAGCAAGGAATCTAAACAGTTCTTCCTTTGAAGCTGCCCACCGCCCAGCCTCATAGCTTATTTCCATCCTGCACCTGCCTTGGTGTTTGGGAGCCCTCTGCCCAATGAGGCTCTCCTATCTCTGGAGTCCTCCTGCTGTTTTTTCTGTTGAGTGTCCTGACAACACAGAAGTCCTCCATCTGTCCTTCATTGTCTGCTTTTCTGTCTCCATCTCTCTCCCTCAGTGCAAGCACACTGCAAACAATTTATGGGAAATGGAATGAAAAGACAAATTTATTTTGGTGTAAAAAATGTTCAAAACATGCACATGTGAGTGTCCTTCAAAAAGTTCATGAGAAACAGTCACACAGTGAGAGAACCATGCCTGCATTTGGACTGGTTGCCACAATGAACTTCCTGTGTAACTCCAGCATCTGAGACATTGGTTAAGATGCCAGCATCTCATATCCGCCCAGATTTCTTTGCTGCAGCTGGCCTGGGCTCTGACATTCTGCTCAAAGATCATCAAGCCTGCTCTGATCTAGACGAAAATGTGTGTATCTTTTCCTCCAAGAGGACAATGTGCGGAAGATGCTGGACCCGCCTCTGTCTGAGCCAGCGATGGAGAAGACATCCTGGTGCTGGTCTCCAGGGTAGGTTGGGTGAAGATGGCCATCTGAGTATCACCTGCCGGGGGAGGCTCTGGGCCAATGCTGGGAGGAACTGCAACCTCGGGAGTCATGACTGGGTGGGGTGTAGCACAGGAAGCTTGGCCACCATTTCCTTCTGTCCAAGTATAATGACGTAGTTCCCCTGTGAGGAGCTCCAGTTGCTGAAAGAAAAGAATGACAGGAAATAATGAACAACGCACCTGCACAGGGCATCTAACTCAGCCTTGGGAGAAAGTCCTTTATCAGATGGTCAAGTCTTCATTCTGGGTTCTTTGAGCCAATAGTAGATTTTAGTAGTGATTTCAACCATATTAAAAGATAAGCTTTGCCATGCCCAAGATTCATGTTCTCATGTGGAAAACGGGCAGACAAGTAACCTCTCATTTATAAAACAGAGATAAAGACTTACATTGGCAGTTAGGTGACCTGAGTCTATCTTGGTCAACTTTGGTTGCTAAAGTGCAACACCAAGGCAGCTAAATTTCATATAAAGGTTTGTTTAATTCACAGCTTTGGGGTACTCAGGGGCATGACACTTGAATTGATTCAGTTCTGGTGAGGACCAGGTGCGCTAGCAAAGGCCAGGTTACATAGGAACTAAGTACTTAACATCTTTGCTGGGGGGCAGTCAAACACAATTGGGGGCCAACTCGGGCTTTTGCAACAACTTTCTCTTGAAAATTAGAGGCTACATGAGAACCACTTTCAACAGTGCAGTCTCCAAGGACATGCCACTAGACCCCACCCCTCAAAGCTTCTATGCCCTCTCAATGACACACTCAGGGGCTTTACCCATGGACCTATAGGGAACATTCAAACCAGTCATCAAACCACAGCAGTGCTCCAATCTGGATTAGTGCTGCTTGTGTGGCTGTCAGAAAGCCAAGCTGTATCTCATTATGTTATATTTAGTTATGATAAACATACTGATTGCACAATCTGGTTTTTCATTGAAGCCACCTTCCTCCCATTCCCCAAACCGTGGATACAAACTTCACACACAGCACCCCATACCAAAACAATCTCTTCTCGGATTTGCTGAGCTCGGTCTCCTAACTGAAACTCCAGCTCTGTCAACTGCTGCTTCAGGGCCTCGCGTAAGGTTTGCAGCTGGGCTGCCTCCTCCCTGCAGGTAAGCAGAAAACCACCACAATAAGCCATCTTCCACTGTCTCTTTCATAATGTAAGGCCTGCCTTTGAAATTTCTCAAGAGAGAATGTCACTTTCTTTATATGTTTCAGTTGCACACAAAGAAACAACACCAGGGCAGACTGCATTACTAAAAACAGTCTTTCTATTGTGTATAATTTGCACATCGTAGAGTTCACCTGTTTTAAGAGCCCAATTCAGCAATTCCTAACCCATTTACCAGGTGCTATAAGCATCACCACCATCTAGTTTTATGAAATTTCTATCTTCATGATAAAGAATCCCCAGATCCATTTACAAGTACACTCTTCTCATCTCCTATTTCCAGAGTAGGAATTATTTGTACACTTTGGGGGTATATGTCTAATCTATATGACAACGACACGGACTTGCAGTTATCCTGGTTACACCTCGGCTCCTAGCTGACTGCCCTGCTTCCGACTTTCCCAAATGTCCCCATTTAGCCAATGGCCCTCACATACTCCCACTGAGACAGCAAGATCTTTAAAAAAAAAACAGATTTTTTTTTTTTATTGGCAAGTTAGATATATAGAGAGGAGGAGAGACAGATAGCGAGATTTTCTGTCTGATGAATCCCCAAGTGCACGCAATGACTGGAGCTGAGCCAATTTGAAACCAGGAGTCAGGAGCCTCTTCTAGGTCTCCCATGCCGACACAGGGTCCCAAGGTTTTGGGCCGTCCTCGACTGCTTTCCCAGACCACAAGCAGGGAGCTGGGTGGGAAGCAGGGAGCTGGGTGGGAAGCAGGGAGCTAGGTGGGAAGCAGGAATGCCGGGAGTAGAACTGGTGCCCATATGGGATCTTGGCACTTACAAGGCAAGAACATTAGGCACTAGGCTACCACGCCAGGCCCAAGAAAGAGATCTTGAAAGCAGGGGAAAAGCCAGTGGGTTTCTCATTAATCCTGCTCCAGGATGCCCCACTGTCCTGCTCTGATTACTTTTCTTGTTCCAGATGTGGGACAGATACTTACTTTTATGGCCCTCTTTTAGAAAATTACCTTTCCTCTTCGGACATGTGTCTGGAGAACAGTGCCTGCTGTCCTGAGAGGTACTGCTCCGTCGCCTCCAAATGTTCCCAGAAACTCCGGCAGAGCAGCTTCATGGCTTCCATCTCGTGGGCTGTGCCCTGAGAACACCAAGGAGGAACAGGGAAGGCAATGCTTCCTGAGTCGCTGCAGGAGCTTCTGACCCCAGCGGAGGGGGCAGACTCATTCCTGTTTGGGCCCACCTGTACGCCCAGCCTGACTGAGGCTTGCATAAGGAAGAGAACAGAGTCCAGTCCCTGGCTTTGGGAAGCAACAAGAGCGATGCATGACTGGCAAGGAGGGTTATGGTTGTTGGGTCATCTCTGGGTGTCAGTCTCGAGGGCCTACTAGGACTGGATGATACAGGAATAAAAGGGTATAAACAGAACAGAGATGGGGAAAGAGCCAGATTCAGGACTTGTGCTTAGAAAAGTCCAGTCTGGTTAATTCTGTTTAATTTGGGTGCCAAGTATTGCCTCACTCTTGAGTATCAATAGCAGGAAACACATCTGTTCAGGTGGTTTGTGTCTGATTTAGGAAAATCTGCTTAGAATATTTTCTTTTATTGTTAGCCCTGCTGAGACACAGTCCCTGGAGGTTAAGAGCTGCAGGAATGGCTTCACTCAGCTAATAAACTTGTCTGAGCAAGACAGAGGAGTAGGGGTTCCATCCTCTCCAGCAGTTAGCGTCTAGATATAAACTCCAGTTACCTACCCCCCCGCCACACTTGCTCTTGATGTGCCATCCTTCTTATGTTACTTCCCCTGTAGGACTATGTTCATGCCCAGGTTTGTTTTCCTAATCTGGACAAATTCTTACAGCCTCTGGGAACTGCAGATCTCTCTCTCCACACCTCACAGTTCTGCCCACACCTCTTTGCTAAGAAACTTGCCCTGACTCTGGCAGGATCTCTAGTGGTGCCAAGTCCTGTCCTGGGGACGATCTCTGTTCTGCCAGTTAAAACACCTGCCTGGGAAAGACCAATGCTGCCAGTCTACTGTCTGCTCTAGCTGACACTGGACCTGAGGGTCTCCGATACCCTCCCCTTCGAGAGGCCTATGAACTGGGAAGAACATGCTTCTTGAACAACTCAGAAGTGTCTCTCTCACGGATCTGAGAGCTATTCTCCCAATCTTCCAGTCCCAGTTGGTTGGTGGATCCCTAACTTTGGTCTCTGACTATCAACACATCCAATCCAGTGTATCCAATTCAAGCAATCTGCCTCACTTTCCATTCTCTGACTCTCCAGAGCTACAGCTCTCGTCCTCCTCGGTCCCTCTTAAATATTCCCAATTCACCTCTGCACAGAGTTCTGTTCTTTCCCTACTGTCAGTAGTTCACAGAATAAAATGTGCTTTTACTGCTTTAGCGCATGTCTGCTGTGTTTAAACCTGTTGGTGGGGCACACTGTGGTTTGTTCAGTCGTCCTTCTGGCTCTGTAGCTGCTATTGGATCATGGCATGAATAGATCTGTGATCTGGGCCGTCTGCATCAATCCTGTGCAGTCGAGTGGTAACGATGCATCTTGGGCTCTGCACCTGTCTCTAGCAGACTCACAGCCTTGGATCCTCTTGTAGATTGGTATGAAGCTATGAGCTGCCTACTATCTTTCTCCTTATTATTACCAAAACAGTTCTATTACCTGATGTGTCTGTCTAAAAAACTTTATTTCCCAGTGTCCCTTGCTGATAGGAAGGCCAACGGGACAGAAGCCGACAGTACCATCTAGGGCTCCTTTTTCAAAAAGGTAGCTTTCATCATCATCATCATCATCATCATACAAAAAAAAAAAAAGCACTTTGCTGACGCCCCTGCCAGCCTTTCCTTCATCCTCTTTTGGAGGAGACCAATTGCTTCCAGGTTTGTTTCTGGGAAGCTCTGGATTTCTTCCCCTTCTCCCCAGAACTGCATGGCCAACATTCTGGAAACCTGAGGACTGTTTCATCATAAAATACCTATCACAGAGCAATATATTAATATTGAAAATGCCCCATCACCTTGCCTTGAGAGTTCAATTTTGAATCCTCCATGTTCTAAACAGAATAGTACTTTGCATAATAAAACTCTCCAGTATTTGCGTCAGTGTGAATGGATCTTCGAAATATGATTAAGGTTAGCAAGAATGTTCGAAAGTTAAATGGTGACTCTTAAGTCCAGAAAATAAAGGCAGCTATTTGGCACAATGGTTACACTGCCACTGGGGATGCCTGTGTCCTGACTGGGGACCATAGATTTGCGGCTAGATTTGGCTTTCGTTCCATCCCTTTACAAGTACACCCCCTAGGAAGCAACAGGACCTCCACCATCTGGATTGAGTTCTGGGCCCCTGGTTTTGGCCTCGCCCACCCCTTAATGCTGCAAGTACTTGGGGAGTGTATCTGTAGCTGGAAGCTCTCTCTCTCTCTCTCTCTCTAAGTGTATCTGTTTCTATCTCTCTGCTTTTCAAACAAAATGGAAATCATTTTTTTTAATCAGAAAACATTTCAGGGCTCAAGAAGGGCTGCTTTTACAGATATGTGTTCTGATATAGAATAATTTGCCCGTGGTGGGAAAAAAAATAGCAGTCAGATTTCAAATTCATGTCTCTTGGTTCAAGTGTTTTCTTCAGACTTGCTTGAACTAAAGTAGCACCAACAGTGTTGTTAGGAACTTCTAGAAGTCGGAGTATCTGCTATTTAGTAGCAAGTTGATGAAATGGTTCAAATTCGTTTCCAGAAGGCAACCAAGACTGGTCACAACTGACCCAAATTCACTTTCAAGTTCTCAAGGACATGAAAAGTCAGATCCATGGAAATAAGGTGTTCAGTGTGGCTGCACAGAAACACAGAAAATGGTGCTTCATCCAGACCTTTTAGGGGTGACTTTATGAGTAGGATTTGGGAACAAATGGTTTGTATTTGCTCAGAAGAGTGATGATGATGATTCTGAAACACTGCCATCTGCTGGCCATTTGGAAGCATAAACATAAAGTTTAGTCCTTTAACAGGCAGTTTCAAAATTAAGAAATCCTTAAAAAGGTTGGGGGGCGGAAACAATGATTTGAACTTTTATTTCAAATAAGGATGTGGTTAGAACCCCAAATCAACAGAAGGTTGGCTCTAGTTGTTCAAACCCATGAAAACTGACTTTAACTTCAATGATAGCAGTTTCAAAAGACAACGATTCCTTTTGAATTGGTCCATACTGTTTTTCAAAAATAGGAACACTTTTTCCTTTAAACTTAAACCACAGGCATTGTAGGAGAATTTTTAAAGATAATACTATCTGAGCCAAAGCAAAGCTAGGAGCCTGGAATTCCAATTAGATCTCCTGTGTGAGTGGCAGAGGCCTAAACACTTCCGCCAGCAGACACATCACCAGGGAGTTGGGCTAGAAGTTGAGCAACTGGAACTTGAGATGGCGCTCACAGGATGCTGGCTTCTCAGGAGGTGGCTTAATCCGAGATGCCATAATTCCAGCCCCATCTCTCCACTTCAATAGGATATCTATTGTTTTTAAGGCTGATAAACAGAAGCTAGTTAGTATTTTATTCATAAACATTGCAGCATTTATACTAAAAGGACTGACTGGCCATTTCTTCTGGAGTTTTTTTTTTAATATAATTTTTGTCTTTGTGGCGTTATCATTTTTACTAACAAAGATTGGCATGATTTCTTGTATGTGTTACTATGGAGTCTATATTCGTAAGTAAATTCTGGATATGTATTGATTTGTCAGACCAATAATCTATATCAGAGCCTATATAAGAAATGAGAAAGCGCTCCATCAACATGACAATGGGTTGAAAACAGTAGGGTTTGCCCTGAACTACCTCGCATTTGGGAAGGAAGGCTGGGCACCACCCAAGAAGTTTCCCCTTTCCTGTTTTTGCAGAGAGAAGCACTTACAAAACACAGCTCCCTCACGGCGGTGTCCCGAGGGGTGTTCATGGGCTGCAGGAACTGGGCTTCTGGATGGCCAGCCTGTGAGCACAGGCCATGCCCAAAGGCTGGGGGTTCAAGACTGGAACTGTGTGTGTCCCAGTGACTGTGGGGATGGTGGTGACAGCAGACACAGCCACACGCAGGTACAACGAGGCAGGGGGCCCCCGGATAGGTGCTGGAGAAGCCTGTGTCCAGAGAGACAGATTTGGTGAGAGACTGGTGCCCGTGCTTCAAGGCCGTACTGTGTGGGGCTGGACAGCACTGCCAGGACCTGGGCTCACATCCCGAGGTCTGAACAGAAACATCTCGGAACTGTCTCGCCTCTGTCCCTGATCTTGATCCTCTTGTGGCAGCAGTGTCACACGCAGTGCACTCCAGAGCTGCTCCTCTGTGGTCAGCTGCCGAGGCCGCAGTGCTCCAGGCAGCTGACGCCAGGCTAGAGGACATCTGGATTGTCACCGACCTGGAGTTGCCCAAGTTCAAGTCAGCATTTACAGGAAGGTTTTCTGTCTTGGCTTCTGTCCTAGGTGGTGTCTGACCCCCAGTTCTACACTTTGACTTCAGCTGGGGAGTGGCTGCAGGTGGATTTTCAAGGTGAGGAGTGGAGCTGTCAGACATTGGAATGCAGACATCTGTATAGGGCGTGATTTTTCGGTACTCAGGGACATGAGACCCTTGTCGTCGTGCCAGTGAGGCGGTGGCGGTGTCAGAACAAAGTCTGTTCTTTCCCTCTCCCCCTGGGGCCTCGGAGCCCATCCGCAGGGTCTTGTCTTCAGCAAAGACATTTCTGGAAGGCCTCCCAGGCCCCTGGCAGCCAATTTGTGTGTCTACTTTACCAGCTTCCTTGGGCCTGGAGGGCTCGTCCTTCCCATCTGTGGTAGGGGTCGCCATGAACCACGGAGGGTCATTCATGGAAGTGACCAGGGCTCCAGTGCCCTCAGAGTCAGGGCAAGATGGCAGCAGGAGCACAGGGCTGCCTTCCCTTGAGTATACCTTCCTAGGGATGGTTGTGGCAAGGGCTGGATCTGGCAGGAAGGGCTCTGGGGGCTCCTCGGTGGCCTCGCGTGGAGATGCTTCTTCCACAGCAGATTTCGAGCTCCAGCGATGGCTTGAGACGGGTGTGTCCGCAGCGCTCTCGGGATCAGATTCATCTGGCCCTGGCTGACCGTCCTGAGATGACCCGAAGCTGTGGCCCCCAACATGCGGCTTACTGCCTGTGGTCTCAGCAGGGTTCTGACTGCTTGGCCAAGAAGGCATCTGTGGGAGAAGGTAGGAACAAGGGGAGTGAGTCCACCATTGGGAGAGGCATTCCAGGTTTTTCTTCCCTATCGTTACCACCGACTCAAGAGTTTGGAGAAGACGGTCACAGCTCAGGGCTTAGTTCAGTGGCTTACTTCACCTTTGGCCTCCTCTCTGCCAGGCTCCACGGCCTCACTGAGAACATCAACGAGGTAATAAGGCTCTCTACGGTGACTCCACTTTCCTTGCACCTGGATCCATGTGACGAGCACCTGCTCAGCCTGTCTAGCAGTGGCAGGTGCTGCAGAGTTACTCTTCCTTCTAAACCGGCTGGGTGTGAGGGCAGAGGAGCAGACTGGCCGGTGGGGTGGGAATGGGACAATGGCAGGGGAGCGCTAAGGGCCCAGCCCCATCTTTCCTACCTGCAGGGGAAGCGGTTCTGGAGGCTCTTCCAGGAACCCACTGCTGTCAGACTGACAGCTGTTTGCTCTGCCTGTCCAGACGCCTGTAGAAAGAAAGTGGCTTGGGGTTATTAAAGTAGAAAGCCCAAGGTTTCCAAGGAATTCACCTGGGTCCCAGTGCCAAGCGCAATATTGATAGGAATGCAGAGATATCTACACCTGCACTGTCAAATTCAGTTTGGATTTTATAAAAGATATCAGGCACATTGAGAAACAGAAAAAGATGGCCAGTTGCAAGACAACAACAAAAAACCAGACAGCTGAAACTGAGTCTACATACTATATACCACATCTATGTACTATTGGTATACAACCAAGCACATCTTCCCATATACTTTCAATCATCTCTAGGTTGCTTCTAATACCCAATACAATGTAAGTGCTATGTGAATGGTTGGTACACTGTATTCATTGGGGAACCATGACAGGAAAACAGTCTCCACATTTTCACACACTTTTTTTTGAGTAGTTTGTATTTTCAATCTGTGATTAATTAGATCTACAGAACCTGCGGACCCTGGGAACTGGCTGTGAACAGAAACAGAAAGGGTCTCTAAGAGACAGATGGGTGATTTCCTCTAGGAGGGCAGGCTTGTGACGTTAACTGCTACCTTGTGTTGATTTCTGTGAAAGACAAACAAACGTATCCTCTGAAACTCACTTAAATGAATTTGTGAATCAACTTGACTGAGAAATTTCACTTTGATGATACGATCAGACGGTGGACTAAGCACGGGTCCCTCTGGAGGCGGGCTGCGTGTCTTGCTTTTGTTTCAGAAGTCAAGTGTGTGCATTGAGGCACTGTGGACTGACTTACTAAGCAAAAATGTGGGCCAGTTTGCAGAAGGGTTACTTTCTTCAGGAAGCTCAAAATCCTTCCTTCTTGTAAAACACCTTTTCAGTAACTAGAATATAAATGTGTAAAAGTGGGGTTTCCAAATTTAAAGTATTTCCTTATAACCGTAGGAATCAAGACAAAGCATGAAAAAACATCTAGCCCAGGATGATCAAGCTGGATTATAAAACAAACAAATATGTATCATGATCATTTCCATATACTCACACCAACATACACCGTGAGGGCAGGCTAAGGTTTGGGGAAGTCTCATGACGCTTGGCCCCAGGCCTGGCGGTGAGACCAGCACACCCAGACCAGTCTCTACAAGTTGTTCCAAGGCTAGCCTGTGAGAGCTTGAAGTCTTATTCCTTCCAGTAGCATTTCCCAGGGAAGCACATCCATGCCTTGCCTGACTTCCACCTGCTCCAACCAGCCTTTTTCCTTTAGCTAGATCTTCACTCTCAAATATCCTGTTCCAGACCATTTCGAAAGATGGAACCCTCCCCCATGAGTAACCATTGTGTGATCTTTGTCATGGCCCTGTCGGACTCAGTGCCCACACTGCCTATTCCACAATTCAGGAAGGTTAACTTCCCTACCATGGAAGCAGCTAACACCCAGTCAGGCTCCATGATGGAGACATGTTCGGAGCCAGACCTACCTGGTTCAGATTCTGTGTGTGCACTTGCAAGCTGTGTGATCCAGAGCATGGTACTTAATCTCCTTGGAGAAAAGAAAGCATGGGGAGACAGTAGACCTTCGTGGGGTCTGGATGAGTACAATATCTAACAACAACGGGTATGAAGAAGCTAGCATGTGTAAACAATCAATTACACATGCAACATTTTTGCTGCAGAACACCATTTTTTTTCAAAGATGCATTTATTTATTTATTTATTTGAAAGTCAGATACACAGAAAGGAGGAGAGAAAGAGAGGAAGATCCTCCATCTGCGGATTCACTCCCCAAGCGGCTGCAACAGCTGGAACTGAGCCCATCTGAAGCCAGGAGCCTCTTCCGCGTCTCCCACACAGGTGCAGGGTCCCAAGGCTTTGGGCCTTCCTTGATTGCTTTCCCAGGCCACAGCAGGGAGCCAGATGGGAAGCGGGGTCGCCGGGATTAGAACTGGCACCCATAAGGGATCCCGGCAGTAGCTGCTAGGCTACTGCCCCAGGCCCACAGAACACCGTTATTATCATGATCCATTACAACTCAATCACTATTATTATTAATATTAATATTAACTAGAAATTAACTTTTTGACATACACACAATTGTCTTCCTAGAGTTAGATTTTATTTTACTTAGTGTGTGGGAGCACTTACCTACCATCCTAAGTGAAAAATCATTTCCCCTGCAGAAGATGCCTCAGGCACTTTGTCAAAACAACCACAAGATGGCAGCATTACACCAACCACAGAGCAGAGGGGTCCCTGTAGAATAGCTGCAATTCGCAAGAAATATCCAACCTTGTGCACTGCGTTGGTAATAAAAGCTTCTGAATCCCAAGTAGACAGTTTTACATTTGAAATTACGTGATTTCACAGCGGCAGGGGTAAAAATGAAACGTCTGTGGAACTGGGACCGAAGTAGGGGAAGATCAGAAAGAAGTGTGGCAGTGGCAGGGCTGTGAAATGGGCCGAGGTTGTGACTGCAACACAGGACTATCAGCTGTGACCGCTGGAGGACATCTGTCCTCACCACCACCTCCCCTCTGTCAGAGCCACTTCATTGTCCAGTTTCTGCATCGCCTTCCTCCAGCCACAGACGACTCATGGGGAAATGGAGTCAGAGAAGCCAGCTGCTCTCTTTGGAGCGAGGTAGGCCTGTCAGCGCCCGTCAGGGAGCTTCGTGTGTGAAGCAACTAGGGGTCTAGGTCACAGAGGAGAGGGGGTTATTGGGCCTAAAGAGCACTTGCTCCCCAGTGACATTTTTTTTAAACTAATTTTTGAAGCACAACCTCCCTATGGACCATGGTTCACCTCTGAATTCCCAGATTGGAAGATAACCAGAATGGTACGACCTACCACCAAAGCAGAAATTCTTTCTAGAACATTCGTTTAAATGAGTCATCTGTCTAATGTTTACTTCTGATGACAGGGATTTGACTACACGGGTCAGAATATATATTTGTATTATATCTTTTAAGAAATGCTGCTTTTTATTGAGCCAATCCATGTTCACATTTTTTTTTTTCATTTGTTGGTCATATATCTGTCCCTTGACGTTACACACAGCATATCTAACCTCCTCTCTGAGGAGAGTTCATCCGAAGGTCCTCAGTCCTTCTGGCCAGCTTCCATCTCCTGAGAGCTGTTAAACTGGACCTCACAGGACGGGGTTTTCAGATCACTGACAGCTTACAGGCACTAAGACGCTTCCTGGAAAACCAGGCCTGCAGAACCGTGGGCCTTGACGAGCCCGCCCGCGACGAGCTCCTTCCCTGCTCGTGGACTTACACTCCCATCCACGTGGCCGGAGATGGTGACACTGCAGTCGGAACTTGTGTTTCCAGGGTTGGGCAACTAAAGCCATATCTAACTTGAAACTGAGCAATAAATGTTTTAGCTTCTAAACAAATGATTGATCTCATATCCCTGTCAAATTGGATCTAGCTTGTTTGAAACCCCCAGCTCCCTCTCTCAGGGGTAATTTTAGTCAGCTTTCTGAAGTGAGTTTAAGTAACCTGTGACCTTGAAAATTATTCTTGCTAAGGGCCAAGTCACTAATAACATCCTGCCGAGACCAGGCAGACCATACCGATTATGACAAACGCTCCCAAGCCAAGGGGATTCTCCCCACAAGGCTGAAAGTCGTGTTGAGAAGGGGCCTGGTGACACTTCAGTCGCTGTCCCACCACAGTTGTGTTTCTGCCCCTGCAGCAGGGAAAGGGACTGGCTATGTGGAGGTCCGTGGCAGGAAGCAACCGGGGGGCGGGGGACGTGGATTGGCCGTCCATCCAGGAATGTCACCAAAAGGAAATGGAACCCCAGTATTTCTGAAATGTCAAAGTTGTTTCAGCCTATAAAGTTTTTTATGTGTTTAAACACATCTCTTCTTTGTCTACATAGATGCATATAGGGTACATCTAAGGCACAGAGAAGGTGCGGGCATGATACAGTTTTGAGGGTGAATCTGTTTTAAATGTCACAAGAAAAAGCAATGGCAAATTTTAAGTGAGACCTACTGTTGATCTACTTGGAAATGGAGGAAGAGATGTTCTTGGTGCCAAATGAACAGTGTGTGCATGACCGTGGAGAAAGGTGGAGCTCAGTGTCATTTCTGTACTGATTCAAAATACCACGGTGCCGGTCCAAATGCTAGTTTCTTTGTGAAACTGTGTAAGAGCAAATGCTGTCCTTGCTGGAATTTACCAGCAGATGATGTCAGCTGTTCCTTTTACATGCTAGCCAAGTTCAGTCACAGTAGAGGGAAAAGAAAAACTGGAGCTGCCAAGCTGGAGGACCAAGGCTTCCATCCAGAACCACAGCTTCCAACTTTGTTTCTAGCTGCATTCTGGGGGATGTATGTGGGACCCTGGTTCCATGAGAAGCAGAAGGGGTTCTCAGAGTTGCATGAAGGTTATTCTCCATTCATCCTTACTTGCCTCTCTTACATTCTCTCAATCCTTTCCTGCCCTGCTGGTGTTCCTGGCTTTGCCCTGTGTTCAATTCTTAGAAGGGAGAAGCAGCAGCATGGATAAATCAGCACCTGTTCCCTTGCGACACTTTCTAAAAAGGTTGTTGATGACAGCCTTTGTTCAGCGACCTCTTCCCTAAAGCTCCCAGTTTAACAGGATCAGGAACATGCTCCCTGTGGTTTTCAGCCCAAGGGGTGGCAATGGCCTTGGATGCCTCCCCATTGCTTGTGGTTTCTTGGATCCTGCCCACTTTGGTAAATACTCAGGTTTCACAACTCACTTCAGTTAAACTCTTTGGATCTGCTCTGCCGTGTTGGATGCATCAGTGCAACCCATTAGGCAGCTTAAACTGGTACTCACATACTACTGCGTCTTTTCATTTTAATTCTAATTCATCCTCTTTTTTTTTTAAGTAAAAAGAAGTTTAAGTTTTAGAAACTTCAACCCACACAGTCTGGGAAGCAGGATGGACAGAGGACTGAAACTTTGTCCTTCATGTGTGTCCAGTTCACTTGTGTTTAATGAACCTTTCAAAGTCTTCATATCACTGTCATTGTTTTGCACCC